CAAATGGATGTCGAGGACTCGTTGGGAGCGTTCCATTTTCTTCTGTCAACGCATCTTCATCTCTCCAGATCAAAACGAGCATAACATTTGAAACTATGCACGTTATGACCAGTTATAATGTAATATGATATTTCAGATAGAAAAGCAAGTGTCATGGCATTCTCGCTCTAGACGAGATCTCGACGGTGATCGCAACAGCGTTTAAGGTTTATTATCACCAAAATTACCAAATCAACTTGACTATCAGTAGCTATTTATCTGTTTCAAGCCGTCAAAACCACATTTGCTAGATTTCAATCTACTACACCTATGCAATCTTCACCAACACCTGGTCCGATCACACATCACCCACCTGAACCTATATGAACCCATCTGTGCTATCAGCTGGTCCGATCACACATCACCCACCTGAACCCATATATACCCATCTGCGCTATCACCTTGTCACTTTTACCCAAATCACTGGCTATCTGCTATTAATCAATTATGTTCATCTAAACTGCTTGACTCATATCCATCACGGCCCTCATGGCCATCTTGCCAAAATCCGCCTGTACCACCTTGTCCAGATCCGTCTGGAACACCTTCCCTAGTTGCGCCTGGAACAACTTGTCCTAATCCGTCTGGACCACCTTGCTCGAATCTGCCTGGATGACTCTGTCCAAATCCACCCTGGCTAAATCTGCCTTGTCCAAACTCACTTGGAACACCTGGCCCAAATCCGCTTGGACCTCCTTGCCCAAATCCGCTTGGACCTCCTTGCCCAAATCCACTTGGACCTCCTTGCCCAAATCCGCTTGGACCTCCTTGCCCAAATCCACTTGGTCCTCCTTGTCCAAATTCGCTTGGACCTTCTTGCCCAAATCCACTTGGCCCTCCTTGTCCAAATTCGCTTCGACCTTCTTGCCCTAATCTGCTTGGACCTCCTTGTCCAAATCCGCTTGGACCTCCTTGCCTAAATCCGCTTGGACCACCTTGCCCAAATCCTCTTGGTCCTCCTTGGCCAAATACGCTTAGACCTCCTTGCCCAAATTCGCTTGGACCTTCTTGCCCAAATCTGCTTGGACCTCCTTGTCCAAATCCACTTGGACCTCCTTGCCTAAATCCGCTTGGACTTCCTTGTCCAAATCCGCTTGAACCTCCTTGTCCAAATCCACTTGGACCTCCTTGCCCAAATCCACTTGAACCTCCTTGTTCAAATCCCCTAGACCTCCTTGCCTAAATCCGCTTGGACTCCTTGTCCAAATCCGCTTGAA